AAGCCAGTAGCATATTCGTTGACGATAAGTTTGAAGTTCGGTTAGGAAGCCTAACTCACATCTCGGCCGAGCGAGTTCTCAAGGACAAATCAAGATTCACCTGGTATAAAACAAAAAACTGGCATGCGAATCAATTGTCTCGAGTTCTTAGCTCTTGATTTTTCCGCGATTTCATGTTTTGGTTAGCCACTCGAAAAGATGCTAATGAGTAACGCGTTCCAATCTTCGTTTTTTCACAGGCGAACTACTAAAAAGGCCACATCGGGTAAATATCAAGTAGGCAAATTTCATGTTCAATTAAATACATAGCCAAAAAAAAAAAAGATGCTGAATATTCGTGGTTCGGATGCGAATTAATGTATAGGTAGAGCAGGAAAAGAAACGTGCGCGTACGATGTCTACTGTTTCGGGAAAGTCCTGCTCGAGCTTTTGACTGGTAACCTAAGAATTAGTTCGGCCGAGCCTGATGATGCAAATTTGAAGGAGATTTTGGAAGGAACATTGCTAAACATAAGTACATTTGACAAGGAACTTGTTGCAAACATTGTGGACCCATCATTGATTATTGGGCCGGACCACTTGGATGAAGCTTGGGCTGTGGCAATCGTGGCCAAGGCTTGTCTGAATCCCGAGCCGATTAAACGGCCCATAATGAGACATGTGCTTAGTGCTTTGGAAGATCCTTTTAGTGTGGCAATGGATGAGAAATCAGAAAGGCTTGAAACAAACCCATCTTAGATATGGTCTTTAAGATGAAAGTTAAGTAGAGGAAAGCAATATACTAGATTTTAGCTCAAAATAATTGTGTAAGGAATGAGTTTGTTCTCTTGAGTAATAGAAAAGAAAAAGAAAGAAAAAGTCATTTTCCAGTTATGTCATATTTTCATTGTAAATTATTACATGCATCATGGTTTATGATACTTCATACCTCACCCCTTTCACCCTACTTAATAATTTTTATTAAGTTACTTTGTAGACTGAAAAGGGAAAATTCACTTATTGTAAAAGAGTTGAGTTTGAGCTCGAGTAGTTCGAGATTTTATAGAGCTCAATCGAAATTGAGACTTGACAAGTTGAATTAAAGAAAATTAAATAAAAATTCATATTTTTAAGTCGACTTGTTAACTAAACGAGTTTGTGTTCAGTTCTTTTCTTTGAATTCGAACCTTAATGAATCGAGCCGAACTTTACGGGACTCACGTTTAATTTAAACTGCCGATGTTCTAATTTAGTTAATTTTAGTAGCCAACGTATTGTTAGTTCACCAAATTTGGTACACTCCATTAATGAATGTGTTAATTTTGATTAACTAAAAACAATTAAATTTAAAATTCTTAATATTATATATACAGTTTTTTTCTCTGGCTATCCCTTCCACTCTTTCTGTCTCATTCCATTCCATCACCTAAATGTTATTATTATTCCACCATTGAACTTTATTGAAAAATACATATTTACATTTGCTTAGAACTGTTAACGAGTAGCTCGTGAACTCGACTCGCTCAGCTTATTAAGGCTCGACTCATTTGATAAATGAGTTGAGCTCGAGCTCGAACTCGGCTCGGCTCATTTACAATGGTATCGATTATCCCATTTTAGGATTTTAATGAAAAATACATATTTAGGAAGTTATATTTAGGTGCCAAAAGAGAAAAAAAGGGTAAAATTAAATCATCACTAGATTATTATTTTTTATTTTTTATTTTTTATTTTTTTTTTTCGAAGGAAACACACAAAAATTGAGAAATTTCAAAGAAAAAATACACCATTCCCTGAATTCAAACTGAGTCGCCTTTCACTGCCGCGTGTCAAGTGAGAAAACAAACAAAAACAAGTCAAATTCCTCTACTCACTGGCCTCCTTCTCCTTCATTTTTCCGGTGCTCCATACAATTCTAATTCCGGCCAAAAATGTCGAAGCAATACGACAACTGGGAGAGGCTCGTGCAAGCCACGCTCCGCCGTGAAGCCTTCCGCCAACTCTGCCGCCAGGACTCCTTATCGAGCATCTCTTCTTCTTCTTCTGCTTCTTCCCCTTCTTCCTCACCGCAATATTCTAGAAGCTTCCGCAAACTCGAACACGAACCTCCACTGCCGTCGGATCTAGGGATGATCTCGAGGTTCCCCCACCGTTTGATCGCCCTGGCCACCGACCACTTCAGCGATCGGAACCTCCTCGCGCGAGGGAGCTCCGGCGACCTCTTCATGGGTCTGATTTCCGAACCCGTCATGGTGAAGCGGGTCGGGTTTGGGGACGGCGGCGCGTTCTCGTCGGAATTGACATTTTTCTCTTCGATGGCTTCCGACTCACCTCGCAGATTCGTGCCGCTGTTAGGGCACTGCTCGGAGAAGGAATCGGAGAAATTTCTGATCTACAAGTACCTGCCGAAGAGGGATCTCGCGAACGCCTTCTACCACGAGAAGGATGGATTGCGGTCGTTGGATTGGATCTCGCGGTGGAAGATCGCAAGGGGAGTTGCCGAGGGCCTGGCTTACCTGCACCACGAGTGTTATCCGCCTCTCGTCCACGGGTACCTTTTCTCTTTTCTTTTTCCTTTTTTCGTTTTTTCCCCTGAAAAATGGTGAAAAAGAAGCTTGGCTAGCTCTTAAAACTGCAAATGGTGTTTAAAATGGTTGTTTGTTAGTCTATACAAGCTTCAATTGGTTGCTTTTGTGTTATGGTTTTTGGATTTTCAAGGAGTATATGTAGAAGAAAGAAAGAAAAAAAATGTTCGAATGATTTTGATGGTGAATTTGAGAGTTTCCCTCAACATAGACTGAAAAAATTTGCTAAAAATAGGAGCTCAAGAATCTGAATTATATACAATCCTTGGAGTATTGATTTTAGCTACATGTGCTTGCTTGTAAGGGATTTTTTTTAAAAAAATAAAAAATTCTTAGCCACATTATACTTCTACCTAAAGTACAAATTAATGGAGTTTTTGATTTGCCATAGTGAAGGATGATTTAGGTAAACTAGAGAGAGTTTGTAGTTCGACTCGAATTCAAACGATAATTCACTTTATATGTCGCTCGTTTTTTCTTGATTGGTGATTCTTGCTGCAAAAAAGGGATGTACAAGCGAGCAGCATACTACTCGACGATAATTTCGAAGTCCGGCTTGGAAGCCTGAGTCGAATCTTGGTCGAACGTAATCCGAAGAACAAACCTGCATCAGTTACCTGGTATAAAAGTGAACTGCTGATCAAATTAATCTAATTGAAAGAGTTGATTAGATTAAGCTCATGAACTTTTACCTTCGTTTTTCGCAGGAGATCTAAAACGTCGAGCTCGGGTAAGTTCAACAGGAGAAAAGAAAAATAATACTGTTTGCAAATAATTATTCTGATGAAAAGACATGAAAAAATGAATGCATTTTCTACCTCGAATATTTGATCAGGTACACTAATAAAAGAAACACGAGAGTATGACGTGTACTGTCTCGGGAAGGTGCTGCTCGAGCTTGTGACGGGCAATCTGGGAATTAGCTCGGCTAATGACTCGAATCTGAAGGAGATATTAGAGGCAACATTATTGAACGTCAATCTGTATGACATGGAGCTTGTCACGAGCATTGTTGACCCGACACTGATTATCGACGAGGATCTCTTGGAGGAAGTGTGGGCCATGGCAGTTATCGCCAAGTCCTGTCTTAATCCCGACCCCAATAGACGGCCCATAATGAGATACGTTCTTAAAGCTTTGGAAAATCCTTTGAGGGTCGTGAGGGAAGAAGATACGAGTAGGACTGCAAACGAAAAGGCTGCAAGATAGAGGGTTGTTAACGAACCGAACAAAAGCTCGTTCGTGTTCGACGAGATCTCGTTTGTTTATCAAACGTGGAGCCCACTTTGAACAGAAAATTAGGCTCAGGCTCGTTTAATAATCTAACAAGTACGAGCTCGGTCGCAACCATTCGATAATGTTTTTTGCGAACATTAATGTAATATTATTTTATTTTATTTTATTTGTATATTTGCATGATATTTTTGTAATAAGAAATCTAAAATACAATTTATGTATTTTTGAGTTAATCAAACATATTTAAAAGTTTGTATCCTAAATTATTCGACCACAAACGAACAATTAAACAAATGAGCTCGAACGTGATTTTTTGCTCAAAAAATAGACGACCGAACACGAACATTGTTCGAATGTAAATGAACATGAGTTTGAAATGCTCAAGCTCAGCTCGTTCGGCCCAGTTGCAGCACTAATCTCAAAAAGAAAATGAGATGAGAAAGAAAGTCTCATTTTCAAGTATCTTATTTTTACATTGTGTTGTTACATACAAACAGACCAAAGAGGGGTCAAATTTCATCTGCACTACTGTTTCATTCATCTACTTTAACATTTAGTAACCTACTGCATAAGCATAAATTTGTTAACGAAGTTGTACAAATTCCACATCTACAACATTATATAAGAGAAAATAATAATAAATTTCATGTAGTTATTTATCGAAAAAAAAAAGGTTCTTTTTGTACCTTTCACCCGTCCCAAAAGAGTACTCAGCCACATGAACTAAAATTTACAATTCACCAAAAGGGCCACTAGAAAGATGTAAAATAAATTACACAAAAGAATTGTTGGCTTGTCCACTCCTAAAACAAGCCCCCTCAAAAACCAAATAAAGAACAAAACAAGACTTTCTCCTTTTTCTTCTCCCCCTTCCCTTCCCTTCCCTTCCCTTCCCTTCCCTTCAAACCTGTAAGTAAACAGATCAAAAGAAACCCCATTTTTCTCCCATCCAAAAACCTGACAATTTTCCTCGAAAAATAGCACCCCACGAAGCAGACGACGAATTTACAGTACGTAAAAATCTGCAAGAAAAAAAAAATAATAAAATAAAAAAATTCAAACCACTCCTCCTTCCTCCAAAGGCTCAGGAAATATCTCCCTCGAACTCTTCCTAGCCGAAGATGAACAACTCTTCCCACTACTCGACCCCTCCACCTTATTATTATTCCCCGGCGTGGCCCCCACCGTAGCCACCTGCGCCGCCGCCACATCGGATGAGCTCCTCCGCCAGCTGCCGAACAAACCCGCGTTCCACGAACCTCTCGACGAGCCCGTCCTCATCCGATCGGAGCTCGTCGATTGCTGCTCATCCCTCACGACCTTCAACGGGTTCTCCAATGCCTTGAGAACGTAGCGCATGATGGGCCGTTTATTGGGCCTCGGGTTGAGGCAAGATCGGGCCACGATGGCCATGGCCCAAACCTCCTCCAAAAGGTCCTCGTCGATCATCAGGGTCGGGTCCACGATGTTGGTCACAGAGTCCTTGTCGTATATGCTGACGTGGCGAAGGGTGGAGTCGAGCCATTCCTTGGTGGCGGTGGGGTCCGCAGTCGGGGAGCTTATCCCGATATTTCCTGTGACGAGCTCGAGGAGGATTTTTCCGAAGCAGTGGACATCGTACGAGCAAGTTGCGTTCGGGTTGTTGCCTGGATGTTTCGAAAAAAAAATATATATGTTTGTTGTGTTATTTGGAAGTAAAGAGAGAGTGGATATCGACATGGTTCGGGACAAAATGTCGGGGGTATTTTGGTAAAATCCGTTTGCGTCGATTATTGTTTCTCATTCAGATAGCGAATATAGAAGCTACCACGAAAAAAAACACGGCAAAAATGCATTTTTAGTCCTGTTGGTTTACCGCCATATCAATTTTAGTCCTAAGGTTCCATCTTTTCGCCTTTTGGTCATGTGATATAATATTTTGCTAATAAAGTTTTAAATTTACAAGACTTAAATTGCTAATCGAAAATTTGTGAATTTGGGAATTTGATGCAATTTCAGTCCTTTGAGGACTGAAATTGCAGCATTTGCTATTAAATCACAGCAACAAAAGGCGAAATGTTGAAACATTGGGACTAAATGCTATCACGTTAAACCATATAAGCATCCCAATTGTCGCACTTGGTGACCCTTTATAGTGTTTGCTCCTTAGGGGGGCCAAAAACATAGATTTCAAAGGCATGAAAAGAGTGAAATGTTAATGGATAAAGAATATAATCAAAACGTTCAAGAACGGCGTAAGCATATATATTAAGAAATGACGAATGCTTGAAGGTATTAAACGAATAAAGTGAACATTTTGGCCGAGTAGAGAGTCTAGGGAGTGGTGTTGCATACATTAACATGGAGCAACATAATTATCAAGTATCCATCGTTTTATGCCTAAAGAGCGCTTATTAAAGATCTGCATTTATGCGCTATAATTACTATAGTGTAGATTCAATTACAACTGCAAAAGGATATTATCATGCAGAAGATTCAATTAGCAGTTAAGGGTTAATATTGATACACAAAGGATATTATCATGCAGAAGATTACAATAATATCATGTACCTGAATTGCCTTGTTCCGATGACCTGTAGATACGAAATAAATAAATAAATAAATAAGATTACAACAGTAAAGTAATTCAACAGTAATAAAAGCGAGAGGGATTTCATGTAAGCAATCGCGACATTTTATGATATAAGTAAGGCTATAACCATAACATAATGACATTGTAAAACAAATAAAATTTACAGTGTTATCACAAGGAGAATGCATTTAAATATGATTGTGGAAGTAAAAAACTCACTGCTGCAACCGAAGAAATTTTGTAATCCGACTTTGATGAATTTCACCTTCCTGAGCACAAACCTCACTCAAACTTCCTAACCGCACTTCGAATTTATCATCAAGAAGTATGCTGCTGGCTTGAACATCCCTTCAGAAAATTATAAATAATACGAATAAAATTAGATTGACATCATTAAGTGAGAATAAAATAGAAAACCGGAACTTTATAAAGACCAATGCCAGTTCTAGTTCTATCACTTCATACTAAAACAAGTTTAAACGAGTGTTGATATTGATAATATTCGTTTGACAGAATTTGAATATAGTGGCTCTACAACACACAAGTCACAATCATTTAATCTTTACTGATTTTACATTTTAGATAAATCTAAAGCCAGGGTATTAGTATAGTTGGCTCAACACAATATATTAGAGTGGCTATCAAAAAAAACAAGTGGTATGTATCTATATCTTAAATTACCATAATTTAGTTCAGTTATTTATTAAAGACTAGAATAAGGTGTTCGACCGGGTTCTTGCTTCAGAACCCTAATATGTTAATACCATTTTTGACTTATGCTATTACTTTTAGGGATTAG